AAAATCATCTACTTGGGGTATTTCCTGTGAAAATTTTAAAACAGCCTGTTGACAGAAAAGATAAATGTAATCAACCTAAAAATAAGTCATTTGATTGTAACTGAAAAGTAAAACAATTTGGCACCCAAGAATACTTCTAATCCTACCACTGTCAGGGAGAGAGAGAGACACGCATTGGCCACTCAGTAGTTTATCCAGAAAGAATGGTACACATGATCCATTCCAAAGTAAATTCAGGTTAAAATCTGGTGCATAGCCTCAACATGCATCATTTTTATTCTTGTGTCTAAACTGTGTCTCTAAAAAATCTAACACCCTTCAATATTTTCCTACCACTTAGACTGTGTTTCCTTTCTTCTAAATAATATATGAGCTATGAATAGATCAATTTCAAAATAACCCTAGCAATTATTGGATTAAAATTTTTCTATGGAAAATCTTTTGGGCACCTTCTCACATTAGCTGAGCTAAAACATCGTCCTATAGTTTTATAGATGGTCTTGGTGCTTGAATTTGAGTCTACAAAAATAAAATGATTTATACAGAATTCTTGGCCAAACCTGAGAAAAGGATTTTGCCTCTGCTTCTCTTCAGAATGGGATGTCTGATAAACAAAAGAACTCAAGCAGAATTATAAGATTATGAGCACAAAATCATGTTAGTGCCTATGCATGAACAATCAAACATCTTCTTAGGACCCTCATTCAAAAGTTAAATTACCCAGTCTATTGTCATATGCCTGTTGGGTATAAAGACTGTTCTGATCCATAAGAAAAAAATGGATGTCAGATAATCGAAAGAAATGCAAGCGGAATTAAAAGGCTACAGACACAAAGTCACATTGTTACCCATGCATGAACAACAAACCCAATCTATTGCCATATGCATATTGGAAATGAAAGCTGTTCTGACTTATACAAAAACAAATAGATCGCTATATACAAATTAGTATATATATAAAGTTGCTTTTTACATAAGACTTGGCAAGAACTGAACTTAAGTAAATACAGCTCCACACCACCTGTGGAAAATCATTTTGACACCAATGCACAGAGAGTTCTTTGCTCTGTGGATTATTTGCTGAGGTTCAAAGTGGTCTGTATTTTATCATTGGTTTTCATTGTCTTGGCCCTTGTTCCATCCAATTTAGGAGAATGCTTGAAATACTCTCTCTTCTAGTAGCATGCAAACACTCTAGGAATTCGATGCTTTCCTGAATAATCTATGCTTGTTCTGTAAGTACAATCTAAGACACTTTTCCAGAACAGAACAAAAGAGATTAGATTCGTTTTAGTTTAAACTGTCTAAAGAGAGTTCTCAGTTGTGGATTTATTAACGGCTTTAGTACAAATAATGGAAATAGAATCGTGCATTTTTATTAGTCATCCAAGAAGCCTTTTATTTCAGGTTCTTCTTGAAAGCTCAATCACCCTGGCTCTTCTTTTAACAACTTGGAAAATGTCTTGCCTGATTAGGAAGTTAGTCATTTCACATTATGACATCTAAAACAATGAGAAGCTTAAAAACCTCACAAATTACATTTATTAGTAACAGGATACATCACTTTAAAAATGAAAATCTCAAGGATCTGTGGCGCCTTTCTTTGTTCCTGTTAATTTTATTTTTCTTTTTGAGTGGCAGATGTTTTGTAAATATCAGCATTTGAATTCAAACAACAAATGCTGACGATTAGTTCTCTACATAAAAACATTACGATTTTGTATTGGCAGGTTCTGTATTCCGAGCGAGCGTTGTTGACCTTCCTTCTGTTTGATGTTTTCTTTAACAATCCATATTGTTCCAAGGCAAACACGATCTTTGTCATTCAGCTTTAAAACTTAGGACAGTTTTAAACAAACCGCGTTCTGAAAAGGAGTGCTAACGTAGAATTTGGGAAATGTTCTTCCAGTCCTCATTTTCTGGAGACTGTTTATTCCTTCTTGTTTTAGCAGTTGCCTCAGACTTGGTCACAGACATCCCCTGAGGTTTTTCCTTTCCATTTACTTTACCCATTTAAGGTTAACATATTAAGAGTTTTGCTACCGAGAGATTAAAATAAATATGTTTGATGGAGCTTTCTCAAGGCTCCTGGACTGACCACGGCCTTCTTCCCTGACTTCACTGGCATCTTCAATACAGGCCATGTGAAGCCTACCAAGTAGAGTTCCTCTACAAGCTGCCACATTTTTCTGTGTATTCGGGGGAGGGTGAAGCATGTGCCTCTTACTTGTATGCACTGAAAAATCAGAGATAAAATTCATCCTAATAAAGTTTCCCTCGTTCAGTCTTGAAAGTCAGTTGGCCTTTGGGATGCCTGGGTGGCTCAGTTGGTTAAGCTTCTGCCTTTGGCTCATGATTCTAGGATCCTGGGATTGAGTCCCGCATCAGGCTCCTTGCTCAGCGGGGAGCCTGCTTCTCCCTCTCCCTGTCGCTCCCCCTGCTTGTGCTCTCTCTCTCTCTGACAAGTAAATAAAATCTTTAAAAAGAAAAAAAAAAAGGAAAGTCAATTGGCCTGTGAAATTTTACTGTAAAATTCACCATAACATTTAGTAACTCAGTATTAGAGATGGCAGCTTTAGGCAAGAATGTGACACTCAACAGAATCAGGTGACACAAAAATACTACATAACAAGGCTATCATCTGTATTGTTTTCAGCTTATAGCTCTAAAAAATAAATTGGAGTGACTATCATTACTGTGATTTTATCCATTCTCTATCTTCGCTGCTTTAGTATTGATTGAATACCAAGGTATTAGGAATTTAATCTAGTCATTAAAGATAAATCCTTTTCCTTTTGGTTCATAATTATGTCTCCTGTCATTTAAGAGGTTTTTTTTTTTTCCCATGCTATTATATTTTGCCATTTCTCACAGACCCTGGGAGAGAAGATAGGTATTGTTGTACTTAGCGGGTGTTCACATTTTATCATTATAATGTCACAGTAGTGATGAGCAAGACCAGGCTTTCTGTAAGAGGTGAACTTCGATGGCCATATTGAAAGGAAACGATGGATAATGAATAAAGCCAACAACATGAGGACAGGAAGGAAAGGAAGAGAGGGCAAGAACCCTGGCAAAGATAAGAAAGTCAGGGAGCTCATTTGGTGCTTTTTCTAGAGACTGAAGAGAAATATATTTATCAAAAGTCCTTCTTGGCAGATCATGACAAATTTTTTTCATTTCAACCTTATCCCCACTTAATCATAATGTATAAATATTTTAAATTATCAATGCAGGATCTAGTTACAATGTAGCTGTAAAGTGCTGCCTTGTCTTTGCCCCCTGCTCAAAATAAAGCTGTTACCTTTTTGCCCTGTCCACCATGGTGCTTAGCAGCCAGAGATGCATGGTCTCAGACATGTTTACCAAGTAAAACACTGACTTGAGGGGCGCCTGGGTGGCTCAGTCATTAAGCGTCTGCCTTTGGCTCAGGTCATGATCCCAGGGTCCTGGGATCAAGCCCCGCATCGGGCTCCCTGCTCAGCGGGGAGTCTACTTCTCCCTCTCCCACTCCCCCTGCTTGTGTTCCTTCTCTCGCTGTGTCTCTCTCTGTCAAATAAATAAATAAAATCTTTAAAAAATTTTAAATTAAAAAAATATATATATATTTTAAATTATCAGATGTTAGAGTGCTAATGTACATGGAAATGGAAAGTGTGGGACTAGAGAAGTTCATGTTCATCTAACCACGGGTCCTAATCAAGAGCAAAGGCAGAATGGCTGGGGTTAAACATTTCTTTCAGAGCTTTCAATCTTAAAAGAATTGCTTCTTCCTATGACAGCATGTCCTTCCCCTTTGGTCTCAGTGTGTGGATAAGTGAGAAACTCTAAAAATGGGCTAAGACAATATGCCAGGGAAAGAACTAAGTCATCTCACATATCAGAAAATAATACACAATATCTTAAATTTTTTCCTACAGCAAGCAACATTCCACCAACCATTTCTAATGAATTAATCTCAATTGTTATACATCAAACACTTCATTGGGAAAAAACACAGTATCTAATGCTGAAACAGAAATCGGTTTTGTAGTAACTATTTATTTCCTGTGTCTCAAGAAAAAAATAGGTGAATCTCCTCTTCCTTGACTGTTTGTTCAAAATATATGTTCAATACATTGACCTAGTAATATATTGAATACTGTAAGGTCATGATCTCAAATAAAATAAATTAAATGATGTAATAAATTGAATAATATAAGGTAATGACTTCAAAGTACCAGGGTACCTTCCAAAAGAGGACACTTACCAACCAGGTGACCCCTTCAGGGTTAGAAAACAAAAACTGTCAGTATAAATGTAAAAGAAATTTAATTTTTCACAAAATTCCTCTCGATTTTCATCCGTGAATGGTCACCATTAAACAAAAACCTAAGTTTATGTTTATGATCAAGAACCAATAATGACTGAAGTTTAACTTGAATACAATTATAAATTCTGCCCACCTTATTAAACCCTGATTTAAAATAAGACAATGACAATGTGATATTAATGCACAAGTACACCAAAAACAAAACAAAAACACTCTTTCCTGATATTTAGTTCCACACGCAGTGAACAAATTAATGCATCATTTTTTTTCTACAGGAAAACTGAAGACTTTAATAGCAAACCCTCCAAGGTCAAAATGAATACAGGTATGCTGTCTCTGTTAGTTTTAAACTCTTTAGTTTGGTCTTTAAAAATCATCTTGGCCCCAAATCATTAAGTTTAGTACTCTGCTGATCTGAGTGGTCTAAATTCATTACCTGATTTCTCTCTCTCTCTCTCTTTTTTTTTTTTTTGTGCTCCAATCCTATGGCTATCAAATGTAGAATTTTCTGTTTTGCTATCTACTCTTACTCCCTTTTCTATAACCGTATCTTGAAATTAACTCCTATAAGCTCTAGAAAAAGGTAGCATGTCATTTAATGCATACATTTGAAATTTCTCACTTAAAATAGGATAAATTCGTAGGCAAATAGCTCTAGCAGAAAATACTTAAAATTTCCCTTTCTATAAACATGTTATGTTAACAGTGTTAGCAGATAGAGTGGCAAACTTCATAGGAGATCAGCTTAATTAATCTAGACACGATACACATAAAGAGGTAAGCATTATATTTTTAGAATGAGAACAGTATCTCCAACTAGCTTTAACAACATTGAGGTCTCTGAACTCTGTATTACATACAGATTAACTGTACAGTGTTTGTGACACATGTTAGGTACATATGAATTTTTTTCCACAGTAGAAATCTTTGAACTTATATTTTCAGCTTTCCCCCCCGTAATTGTTATATTCTCTACCAAGTAATTCTGTAAAACAACTCTCTCACAGAAATTCTGTAACCTGTGTTCTAAAAATACTCTTTCCTATCCACAGGTGATGTCTGGAAAGTTGTTTTAGGCAGTTACTCCATGGCAAAGTAGAAAGGGTAGTCCCAGATATTTTCTCACATCAAGCTGCTTGCCTTTTTGCTGTCTCTTGTTGTTAGCAAAATGCCCCAAGGGAGGACTAACAATCATTGGTGAGAACCAATATATCTAATCCCTAGATCAAGTGTGGAGACATGGTCACTTGTCTTTGTCCATGATTCTGTGGCTGCCCCTTAGCAGAGACGTCAGAGAACCGTGGGTCAGCTGGCCCCCGAAAATGCAGTTAGAAATGTGGAGAGCAGGGGCGTCTGGGTGGCTCAGTCGGTTAAGCTTCTGCCTTCGACTCACGTCATGATCCCAGGATCCTGGGATCGGGCCCCACATCGGGCTCCTTCCTCAGCGGGGAACCTGCCTCTCCCTCTGCTTGTGCTCTCTCTCTCTGTGTCAAATAAATAAATAAAATCTTTAAAATAAATAAATAAATGTGGAGAGCAACAGGCAAGATGAGGATATTGGACATAGTAAAATATATAAGGAAAGCTTAGAAATCAAGAGAAATGATAACCCTAGAAATGGACCAAGTAAAGGCATTTGGACAGTTGGAAATGTGGCAGGCAGACGCGGGAAATGAAAGCAGAAATACTATTAGGCAAAGGGATTGAAGAAAGCGAAAAGAATAGAGAGAACACAGCTGAACAGGAGAAGTCATGGTGTGAACATCACTCCAGCAGAATGTCCACAGGAGAAAGTTAATATTCACTGATTGTTCTCAGGCATCTTCCCACAGATTTATCTTGAAGCTAACTTCCCAGTATCCTTCATTTTGTGGAGTGCTGATTTGCCTTTATATTATAACGCTGTGAATGACAGAGGGATAATATGTGATTATACTAAATATGCCATATTCATTACAATGCATTCAATAATTAATCTTCCTTGTCATAGAATGCAAGTCCTAAAAGCAAAGTAGGCAAAGAGAAATTTGTACATTCGCTTAGGTCTTTGGGGTACTTGAGCCAAGTTACTGCTCCATCAGCATGAATGTAACTCTCGAAAGTATGCTCTCATTTAAAAGGAGTGAGCTCAGCTCTATATGGAATGCTAATTTGCATAGTTATTTTGCTTATCTGGGTGACTTTATACACATATGTACATATAAAATATAATATTCAAACATATGCATACCAAGTTGATTAGAAGTGACTGGAAACTTTTGTTTAAAATTCCGAAGTAGGGCGCCTGGGTGGCTCAGTTGGTTAAGCGACTGCCTTCGGCTCAGGTCATGATCCCGGAGTCCTGGGATCGAGTCCCGCATCGGGCTCCCGGCTCGGCAGGGAGCCTGCTTCTCCCTCTGACCCTATCCCCTCTCATGCTGTTTCTCTCTCTCTCTCTCTCAAATAAATAAATAAATAAAATCTTAAAAAAAAAAAATAAAAAAATAAAATAAAATTCCGAAGTAATACTATAATGTTGCTATAAAAACAAACCACCTTAAAAAATATATATATATAAACATTGCTGTAGGAAATTGAAGAAAGCACTGTTGCTGTATCTACAAAATGAAGTAGAGTTTCGTTCCTAAATTTCCGTACATAAAATTGGTCTTTATTATCTACCTATCAATCATTAAAAAGATATATTAGTATTTCAATGTCGATGTGTCAGTCACTAAAGCTTTTGAAAAAAATATTATTTTAAGTTAGCTTTTTCATTTTTAGTTGAATACATTATAAAAGAGCCAAAGAAATGGGATTCATTTTTCATACAAATGTATCTAAACAATCTATAGAAATATGCAAAACATGCTATATTTCCACTCTTAGAACCTGTGGACCATTATTTTCTAAGGAAAATCTTAGCTATTAAAGAAAGGAAGGAGGTGAGCGCTGTGAATTGTGTAAGACTTATGAATCACAGACCTATACCTCTGAAACAAATAATACGTTATATGTTAAAAAAGAAGAAGACAGTAGGAAGGGAAAAATGAAGGGGGGGTAGTTAGAGGGGGAGATGAACCATGAGAGACTATGGACTCTGAGAAACAAACTGAGGGTTCTGGAAGGGAGGGGGGTGGGGGGATGGGTTAGCCTGGTGATGGGTATTAGGGAGGGCACGTTCTGCATGGAGCACTAGGTGTTATGCACAAACAATGAATCATGGAACACTACAGCAAAAATTAATGATGTAATGTATGGGGATTAACATAACATAATAAAATAAAATCTAAAAAAAAAAGAAAGGAAGGAGAGAAAGGCATCAAATAATGCATAGTGTGTGATTTACCCATGAGTGTTTCCCAGCAGTTGGAAACAGCTCCTAGGAGGCCTACAGCTGGATGCAAAAGTACGCCACTTTGCAGGCCATGAATGAGTGTGAAGGTGAGAACAGCATCAGGATTCTTTAGGATGATCTTGCATGTGCAAGACAGTATCCTCATTTTGAGACCTTAAAAAAATACCTTCAAGGAACAACAGACAGTTATCAACACATAAGTAAGTAGAAACAGAATAGAATAGATGTTTCTCTTCTAACAATTTCACAATCGTCTCAACTTTTCAAGGGGAGCTCTGTACTAAACTGTTAATAAAGACTGACTCTCCATTCATTTTATGTAGGTCTTAGAACTGCTTAGACTACAGAAATTGTTTAACACAGAGGTTCCTACCCTTTCTTGTTTTACGGTGCCAAGATATCTCAGTTTCAAGCCAAAAGAAATACCTAACAGTTCTATTTTTTAAGTAGTAGGTGTGGACAACTTAATAAGCACTTATGTTCTACCAACTGAGAAGCAATTTGAAAAAAATAATATACTTTAATAAAAAAAAACAATCATTTTATTTTATTCTTTATAACCATAGTTACTTACTAACAGGATATGTGTGCCTGTTGGACACACCAAAACATCTCAGATCATGGAATTTGAGCATACCTCGCCGCTCTCTTCTACTGGTCCAAAATTATTTTCTTTGCCACAGTGATCACCAAAACTCAGCTTTTCAGAGATGCGATATCACATAAAGGAAGACAGCTCAATCTATTACGCTGAAAATGGGAAGTGGCTCAGGCTAGTAGTTCATGCAGGGTCTGATAGGTATCACTGTATTCTCCTCAAGGACATTAAATATCCTCCCAAACCCTTGGGAACCTCCTGATGGGTGCCTCGGCACACAGTGTTGGAACCACGTGTTTAACCGGTGACTCTGAATCTCCTCATTGTGAAATTTTTCTTTCCCATTCCTGCTGGTTTTCAGATGTTCAGAGTTCAGAGAACTAGAAAATAAAATTTCTTAGAAGTCAGTTTCCACTTTCGACACCCTTCACCACACAGTCCTTTTAGACCTTTGATGGCTACTATAGACCACATATTCACTGACATCACCTCGATTTTATCTGAAACACTCCCCCTCTTGTAGCTATTTTTTTTTTTTGCAGTTTGCTAAAATCCTATTCGTGCCTCTCTTAAAGATCTCTTTAGTATTGTATGCTTCTACCATTTGTGTCTTTCTATGTTTGATCTTGATTTATTTGAATTCACATCTGTTACTTCCAATCATTTTTCTGTATTAACTATTGTCTGCATTAGGAAATTGTTATTTTAAACATAGGTTTAAGAAATTATATCTTGATATGAGAATCATTCTACCAATTTTAAGTTCTACTGAGCTTACTGCTTGTGATTTGACCAGGAATTAATTCAAATTGTAGTTCCAAGCACTCTCAAATTCCCTCACTTCCAATAAACGAAGTGGATACTTTAAGAAATAAAGAACAAGGGGAAAAATAAGAATACCATGTGGCAATATATAATGATTATGTTATCATATCGGTGGTTTTTTATTTGTTTTTCTTGTTCTAACTTTCAAGAAGAATTCAATTTCAGTTGTTTTCCTTCCAGGGGAATGAGCAAAACTATTTATTGCACATTCCATATACAAAGGAATGTGGGAATGAAATTGGAATCTGTTCGTAAATAGCACATGAACCTTCTAATTTTAGAAGTCTAAATTCTCATATCACATTAAAATAGCTGATGCCTTTTCACTTGCTTTATCTCACATTGCGATTTGCTTAAAGTAAAAGCGTATAGATCTTCATATACATATTGTTCAATAGCATAAAAACAATGTAATTTTTTAAACACTGGTCATTTCAATACTGTATATATCAATATTGCCTTTGATTCCAAATAAGCCAATTATTTCCATAACAATAATAACTACGCGAAGACAGAGAATTTCTGTAATAATACGTGTTTCTTTATGAACCCTAAACATCAAATATACCATGCCTGTATCAGTTAACAACTTTTACTTCAAGAAGTGAGTCCAGCTACCTTTAGGAATCATAAATAGTTAAAATACAGCAACACCTAAATGATGGATACAAAATAGGTCATACCATAGCTCTCAATATTGAGTCAAGACAGGTTGTCCCTAACCTTAAAAGCTACTCACACTGCTTATAAATTTAATATGAATTGAATTTAAATGGTATAAACAAAGTTGAGTTCTATATTTGTGTTTTCATTAAAGAAAACCCATAAAATCTTAAGTATAAAATCTGTGTTTTTACTAAAGCACTGGCATCTATTTCTAAGACAGACCCCGGGTTCTTTTTGTTCTGTTCTCTTTGTTTTGGCTTGGGGCGGGTGTGAAATTTTCAGATATATTCCATGGTTACTAACCCTGACTGCTCGTCCTCCTCATGGATGTCTGGCACATTCCACTTAGAATGCATGATACTGCATGTGCTTTTCTCCTTTGCTGTGGCTTCTGCTGTGTCATTTTTTTGCTTTCAGATAGCGGTGGGTATGCTCGCAAACGTGCCACCATGTCTGTTACATTAACATCTGTGAAGAGGGTTCAAAGTTCTCCAAACCTATTGGCTGCAGGTATAATATCACCAACTCACAGAATGTCTCAATCGAATGACTTAATCTGACCTTTCTCTCTTTCCAGAGTTATCTTGTTTGGATGATGAAAGTAGCTGTAAATACCTTTCGAATGCCCTACAAGTTCTTAGTTTTCTTGTCTCAAGGATAGCTCCTATCCCTTCTGGCTTTTTTTTGTTCTAAAAATAAAAAGCCAAGGGAAACTGATATCTTATTTAAAAAAACAAAAAAAATTCAAAAAAACTAATTAAAAACAACAGTCACCTGCCAAAAATGTGCTGAGGAACAACTGCAAGTGTTAATTAACTATTTAAGTTTTTTTTCTCATGAACTAAATTAATATAATATTTAGTTACGATAACTAACAGGGGCTTTAGTTGCTCTTTTTTAACCTAAAAACTGTTGGGGGGGTGGGTACACATGGGGGCAGGAAAAGGGATTTGCAGGAAAGTGAATTGTTATTAATTCACTTCTTTGCCAAAGGTCACAAGCAATGTGATAAAATATTAGTTTTGAAAAAGACCTTAAAGCTTCCTTTAATCCAATCAGCAAAGACCCTTCTAATGTAAAGTTTTTAAACATCTTGGTCCAGTTAAGATTAGCACATACCCACAGATTCTATATGTATGTATCTGTAGAAAGTAACTGGGAGTGTGCTATTTTGGCATCCACTGAGGTGCGTCTCTTTATGACCTACGCCTGTGGGTACAGTCTGCACCGAGAGGGGTTACTGCTGTGAAGGATCAAGGTGAACCCTGCAACCCCAGTGGCTGGAGGCCCTGAAATAGGCCCATACCCTCTCATGACTAGTTGGTTGGTTGGCTAGTTGGTTAGTTGGTTCGATTGTGGGTTGGTTAGTGGAGGGTTCCTTGTTTTTTATGTGTAATATTTGTGGGTTTAGGAGAAGTTGGAGAGAGATGGAGAGTGTTTAAATAATTTTAATTCACACTGTGCCTAGCAGTGTCTTTTACACACATAAATTTAGTAGTTAATTAATACTGAAGATGTCCTTGGTTAAAGCCACTTTGATCCTAAACTAGCCAGCCATGTTGAGGAAAAAAAACCCACAATTTTAGGCGTAGAATTCCCACCCTTACCCACCACCACGTCCAGTTCACAAATGGATTTTGATGTACAAGTTTAAATGGATTTTGATGTACAAGTTCCATTATATGGTGCATTTTTAAAAAAACACAAACTGCACTGCAATGTATATAGCATAATATCATTTTGGTTAAGAAAAATCTCTACATACGTATTTGTACATGTTTGTTCGTGTGTGTACGCACATGGAAACATGTTAGACAAACTCAAATGTGGATACCTGAGGGAAATGGTAATGAAGGGAAAAAGAAAATAAACAAACAAACAGATTAAATAAATAGAATTTCTAAGGCCAGCAGGTAATTGGAATGCCGAACCACAAATATCATTGACATTTCAACCAAGTAAAATTCCGTCCCAAGCTATTCAGATGTGGACCATCTGAGTGGCCCGTCTAGGGAACGTGGCACGATTTCAACAATGCCAAATTGTTATGATTTACAAAAGTGACCACAAAAGAAATAACAGTAGATTGAAATAGAGATTGCCATTCTGGAGAGTCAAAACTAGAATACCAATTTCATATCACTCAGCTTAGTGGAAAAATTTTAATGCTTCAGAATCAAAATAACAAAAGATTTAATACTTTAGGAAAATGAAATAATCTTCAGTAGTAAAAGTATGTAATGGCTCTGGACCATTTAAACTTTTATATCACTTGGTCTAAGATTTCTAGAGAATGAGTCCCCTGAACTTTGTTTTTTGTTACATGAAAAATGGATCTCTTTTGTATTAATTAGACACGTAAGATATATTCCCTTTTCAAGGAAGTTTTAATTACATTTTGAAGAAAGAAATCAGCCTCTTTATGCCTCTTTCATTATACAAGAAATGAGGTTCTTGTATGAGGTAGCCTTCACAAGAACTTATTTGACAGTGTCTTTTTGTGAATCAAAGGGGGATTAGTAAATATTTACTACATTAGATTATTAAAATAAAACAGCCTATAAGTAAAAGACCACCTCCACAAAGGATTCTCAGCTTCCCTCCATCCTCCCTCAGGTCACAAAGTCAGTATGAACTGCTAGTCATCAATTATTAGTCCCTTAAATCAGTGTGTCTTTGTCCACCCTTTAGAGGTAAAGTCCAGTGAACAATTCATAGCACACCGTGATGTTTTCAACCCAAGCTAAAACCACAGCAATGACTATGTTGACCATTTCATTTTACCAAAGCACTTGGCAGTCTAAGATAACACTGGTATGCTCTGGTGACTGGGTCCGGCCAACGCCACCCATGTGTTTTATACATACCCTTGGGAAATCTCATCTGTTTATACCTCAAGTTTCCTTTCTTTAAAAAAAAAAAAGAATTCATTTGTCATTTTCCTACCTCTCTGAGAACTTAATCATTTCCCAGACTCAGAAGGATTTGTCATAATTAAATAAGAGTAAATTAAAAAAAGAAATAAAAAATCTTATCACAGTACTTAGAAATACAGTAGGCATGCAATTAGTTGACTTGAATTACTATGTTTAATTAATTCTTGGAAAGCATTTGAGCTTTCTAAAGAAGGGAGCTATAAGAATTAAAATCATCATAATTTTCAAGAAAAGTATAGTTTATAATGTCTAATATAGCATACCAGTTAAGAGGAATTTAAATAAAACCTCAGAGTAAAGATTATGATGTAACAGTTACCACAAACACAGCTACATAAAAACTGTGATGTTGGAATCATAAAATCGGAAAGGACCTTTGAGGGCATCCAGCCCAATCTCCAACCTGAGCCAGGAATGCCTTGCCAACTTCTGTGACAGGTGTCCACCACCTTTTGCCTGGAAGGGGGATGTTCATTGTACCAGTGAAGAGTACTGATAGTTCTTAATTCTCACAGACCCTATTTATATTCACATGCAAAATAGCCAGGGAATGATAAATTTGTCCCATTTACTCATTCTTAAATTTTCAGAGAAGCAATGACCATCAACTAAAGAATGCCAGGAATTAAAGGCTCTGATCCTTAGAATTTTCAGAAGTGAACAAGCTACTGGACAAAACCATTTTTGCCATGACTCTGCCAAATCATTTACATGCTAGACTTTTTTTTTTTTTAACCGATATTCTCTTTACTTGCCATGGTTCCAGGATGCTTTCTGTTACCTGCTCCAAATCACACTTGTCTTCCCTTCCTAAGCGTTCTTCACAGAAATTAAATAAAAGCAGTCTATGGTTAATAGTAGTCATGTGGGATAGTATTTATCTTTCAGTGCCTCTGAAGGATTATAATAAAATAGCAAATCAGGACTGGATGTATTAAATATCTATAACTGGTTTTATGTTAAAGAAACAAACGTTGTACACTTGAGTATCCTTAAGAGACCACCCACTTAACAGTAGATTTTAATCATTAACTTAAGACTCATTAAAATATGGGTTCATCCTGAAGTTTTAATCCATGGCCGTTTTTCTCCCTTCTCCTTGCTCATAATTCTACACACGTGTGTCTACCATGTTAAGCAGGGCTCAGTAGAGTTCATCCTTATTTTTTTTTTAATTTGAGTATAGTTTTAAAAAGCTCACCATCATTAATATCCCATATTTCCTGTAGCAGAGGTACAGTTTCATTTGGAAATCCTTGGGCCCAGTACAGGGGGAGAGAGAAGCCGCTGGTGGATCCCAAAGTGACTGTCCTCTGAGTCTCACACTTAATGTTTATCCCACTGTGGGTTTCATAATCTCCAGTGTGGTCACCAGTAAGAAGAATAAACTATCAGTTAAAGGGAGTTTATTTCAAGTGTCCTTCAAATCTGCTCAGTCAATATACCTTCCTCCTCTACACCATGTCTACGCCACCTCCACCCCCGGCATATACCCACACACCCTTCTTTATGAGCTCAGTTTTATCAAACTAAGAGTGAAATAAAATCCCTATTCTTAAGCAAATAATTATAATATAAATAATAATTAGTCATGCTGCTTCCCTTTTCACTGCCATTCCCTCAAGTCCCAAAACGTGTTCCTTGTCCACAAACAGTATGTGACATGCGGGTGGTCATGACATCTCTCTCCCTGAGTGCCCCAAAGCAGAATTCTAATGATTGCTCTGTACTGCTACCCTGTTTATTTTCTTTATAGAGTCCTCATTATTATT